TCACTGATGTGTTGGAGGTAGATGGTAGGGGGAAAGAGAAACTGATAGGAGAGTGGAGGTGACTAAGGCCTTATTGCTGAACTTCAACTTTCCTAAGAAAAGGCTAGACACAAGAGGACTGTTGAGCAACCCTGGGTCATTAGAACAGACATCATGTCTCCAAAACGGTGATGGATATGAGATCATCGGTCCAAGCAGTCAGCCAATGAGACAGGCACAGCAACAAAGCTAGCCAATGCAAACACACCAAAAGGGTGGATAAATCTTTCATAAGGTGGGTGCAAAAGAGGAATCTTTGGTTGGATCCTTCAGGCAGCTTCGGGCCAACATCGAGATGGACAAAGAACTCTGCAGCTGAAGAAGAGCCGGAGCCACAGAGGACCAACCCGTTAGCCCCGCAACATGTGGCTTCAAATTGCACTTTTCTCACCAGCTGGGTTTGGGACCCCAAAGACAAAGAAAAAGACCAAGGCAAAGATGAAGATAAAGGCAAAGAACAAAAGCAAAGAGGAAGAACTGGTGTGTTCCTTCCATGAGACCAGCTCTTCTACATCTCAATGGACCAGAAAGATCGTGAGACGAGGAGAAAGGAGCTACAGAGCTACAAGACAAGAAAGAGAGGACCGCTACGGACAAGAGGAAGTCACCCTGAGGCCCGAGATCTGCCGCTCTGACTCAGTACTCTTCCTGTACTGGGAGCCTCCTGCTGCTGCAACACCTTTTTCATCATCAGGCCGGTTCTGGGGTTCAAGATCCCAAACTCCGTTCGTCTCTCTCACAGTTTCCCTTTTTTAGTTCACAGTGTCAGCATTAGGGAAAGACAGGCTGGATTTTTGATTTTACTTATTTGATTATTTCTGTTACTGATTTAAGCTGTACTGACCCTTGCAAAATTGCCTGACTAATAAAATAATTAGCATTAAGAAAATCTAAGATGTTGTGGACATTCAGTTAATGAGTCACCTTAAAGTTCTTTGATGGTTGTAAAATAGCTATGATGATTCTGGGAGGAGAAAGTGGAAAATGTTTTATAGGTTGCTTTTAGCCAAAACAACACCCTTGGGACTCGCCCGAGTCACTAAAACCAACCTGGTTCAATAACAAGTGCAAGTTGTAATAAGAGAAAGAGCGACCGTTAACAGGTGTGCTCCGTGAAACTAACTGATTGGGGCTGCTCAATCTGGCTAGTTCACAGGGTGAAAAAGGGTGGGACATCTGGATGGAGGTCGTCAGAAACCAGGCTAGTTTTTCTCTCACCCAGCTTAAACAGAATGTCCTCTATATTCTCATCTGTAGTAATACTCAGGAGTTAGAGGCTTCTCGGACCCGTTAGACGGAGAGCTGGAGAGCAACATCTCCCTCCTCTCAGAAGGGGGAGTAGAGAGAGAGAGAGAAGGAGGGGAGAGGGGGGGTGTGCAACAACACCTTTTTCTTTTCTCTGTGATAGTAAAAAAGTGTATGAAAACTCAAGAGTTTCAGCTTATTTGTATGGGCCGATGAGACATGATGAGATCGACAGCATCTGTATTAGAAGACAGCATGTCAACAAAGTGTCGCATACACACAGACAGAACTATTACCTCATTGGTAAGCCTGTGGTAAAGATTTGACAAAATCTCCACACCAGAGATCATGCAGTAAAAATCCAGAAGTATTCAAATGGTGCAGATTTGTTTTCTAAGGCTTTGATATTTTCAAGTCATTCAGTGTATGTGACTTTTTATTAACTATTAATAACATTGGCAGATTTAGATTTTCACTGAACCAAACAGTTTACGATGAGTCTGGGCTCATCAGGTATTGAAATAATGTAAAACTAGTAGAGATCAACCAGTATTGTTTATTCCGTTGGACCTACTGATATTGAGATATCAAAGGTATCTGATTGCCTATGCTTTACACTACTGATTTAATTTTCTTTTGTCTATATAAAGAAATGAAAATATTTACATGTAAATGTGACATTTTCCTATTAAATTTGCACAGCATATCCACCACTCAGGACATGATGTTGAGAATTAAAGGGAACTGGAATTGACTTCTTATCTTGAAGACATTACACTTCTCATCCAAGATGTTTAATCAGTTCTGAAACTTAGGTTGGAGGTATCATGTGGGGTTTTGTTTGTAATGCTACAAAGTCAAATATTTGGGGTAATAAATTGGGTCAAATAGTCTGTCATCAGAGAAAAACAAAAAGCACAGTTTTATAAAATCATAATTATATCATGTTACTTCATTTATGTATGCATGTTTCAGTTTCAAACTAAATAATAATTAGCGAGCTAAATATTTATTTAGCTGAAAACTACAATGTAGCTTGCTAAAGCGCTTTGAGTGGTCAAAAATGATTGGAAAAGCGCTTTATAAGTTCAGTCCATTTACCATCTAACTAAATATTTAGTTTGAAACTGTAACAGCTATAAATGAATGAAAACATTTTTGAAAATATGGCTTTGAAAAGTGAATCCCCATATTTATCTCTCCTTTACCATTCAATATTTCAAAGGAGGCCATTTTTATCACTAATACAATCGACCTTATCAACTAAAACGAAATTCCTACCAATAAAGTAATCAAACATTTTCTATAATTACTCAACAAATCTTTGCTTGTTTTTATTGGTCTTTATATTATCCAAATCTTTAAATATGTGCAATTTTTTTGTCTTTACCATAACTTTTAACTCCTTCCTCAGATTCACACACACTCCCCAGTAACTGGTATGGGCACTCCAAAACATTATTTGCAGGTAGAAAAAAACATGTTGGTGAAAATCAAAGATAACTTTAAACCTAAATCTGCTTGTTGTATGAAAACCTTTGGGATCATCTGTACCATATATATGAGTTACTTAACAATAAACATGCCTTTTTATGAAAAGTGAAAACTCATTCTCATTCATTTGTTTGAGAACAAAACATTTTGATTTATAAGTAATACAAGTGTTTGAAAACAAAGGGATAAATATAGAAATTAAGGAAACTACACAGAATCCCTCAGTTTAATTTCTAAATAAATCTTACATTGTTTCCTCTAATTTCTGCTTGTGAAGGTCATCAGTTTCTGCAGTAGGTTTGGAAACAAAGAGCTGTCCTGCCATTCTGTAACAGAAAATATAAGTATGACCTTTACATTTTTCATCTACTAACATTCTTGCATTGCTTAGGATATATTACAGAAAATAAATTGTGCATATATGCAAATACCTGTCTTTGAAGGAAGTGAGTTCTTGTTGTTTTCGTCTCAGCGCAGCTCTGTTAATGCAAAGTGCTTCAAGTTATTGTAATAAAATAAACATTTTGATGTTGCTGATATAAGAAACAGAAATTTTCATGATGTTGCATTGCTGTCTTAAACAGATGTATGTTTTGCATCTGCTACAGTATTTAAACTTTGAAAAGATGAAGATAATATTACTTACTTTGCCTCTATGAGGTTCTTATCCATGTATGACAAACTGTAGAAACATAAACAGTAATTTAGAGTTGATATAAGTGAAGGATACAAACACAATTCCACTCAAAACATGGTCCAATAGAATCTCAAAGTAATTTACATTTTAACATTTTACCACTAAAACATATATTGAAAACTGGATATTGAAATCTCAGTATTATCATTTAAACCATCCCTGTTCTCCTGAATCAATACCTTTGAGTTAGTGATTTCACTTTTTCCTCTTTCTGGCTTAAAGTAGATCTGGAAAGAACAAAATATGTTATTTAATAAAGATTTAAATAAACTCAAAAGATTTTGAGTCTTCATTATTTTATTAGATCTTGTAAGTTGAAATGTCTGTGATCAATAAGTTATTGGATCATTGTCTCATGTCAACAACACTGACCTCATCTTCTGGATCTCCTTTTCATAAGATGTTTTTGTCTCAGTGACTCTGTTTTAAAATATGACAGATAAAAGCTCATAATGCCAATGATGCAGAATCATCACAGTATTGTAGTGTTTCATAATCTTCAAATAAAAGTAGATCTGTTGGATGATTTTTACACAATTAAATTATTTTACATTGTCATGTTTTATTTCAGGTTATTAACATTACTTGTCAGTGGCTGATTTCAGTTGTTCTTCTTTTTCTTCTAAATCAGATCTGTAGTGGAGAAAATTAAAGCATCTTTTGAGTATAAATAGAATTGAATGTCATCTTAACTAATGTTCATATGAACCCTTAGGACCTGCAATTTGTGTTTTAATTAATAACTCCTTCACATCAATGCCTCATATAAACAGAACCTGAACAACACTGACCTGATCTTCTGGATCTCCTTTTCATAAGATGTTTTTGTCTCAGTCAGTCTGAGTTAAAGATATAACAGATCATGTTCTTTATAACACAGATTCAGCAGGAACATCAGAAAAATTATAATGGATTAATTGTTTGGTGAACTTTTCAACTCCGCATCCTAATATCTGGAGCTGAAACATGTTCTGTTAACTTGACGTGTGAACAACACCTTTTAATGTCTGATTTTAAGTTTTCATTTTCTCTAAGAGCAGATCTGTAGATTGAGAAACAAAGTGAAAAAGAGTTTAAATATTTCAATAAATGTTCCATGACCTCATAAGACTTTTTTGACAGTTTAATATTGAGCGATTGTGTTTTTACAATATGTCATGAACATTGTCGTCAGAGAAGATTTATAGAATACAAATCTCATCTGATGGAGCTAATGTTTATAAGTAGTGTTTGTTTCAGCGAGTCTGTTTAAAAGGCAACTTTTAAACAGACTTGCTTTAAGAAAACTTGGACAAGCAGCCATAACAATGTTAAATTCTAACGCTTTTTACATTTTGTGTGAATAACGTTTTAAAAGATGTTTCATTTTTTTACAAGCCTGCAGATTAAAATATAAGTTTTCAGAAGAAATTGTGTAATATTTTACAACAGAATATATAGACTGTTAAGTTTTTCATTTAATTTAGTATTCAGTGGAAAGCTCTTTATGTCTAACAACAAAGTCCAGTAAAATTGATTTAAAAAGGGGGCGCTAGTGCGCAGCTGTAAGATGTAGACGTGTTGGTTTGCGCTCTCCACCACAACTTTAAGTAAATCACTAAATACCACGATAAAAGCACCTAGAAGCTGGGACGTTAGATGTTGCATCCTTGGCTAGCCACCGGCCATCATGTCGCCATTGAAGAAAGCCGCAAACTCCGGGAAAAACATGACTATGGACGGGTACATTGGCGGTGCTAACGCTAACGAGGCTAATGCTAACGTAAGTAGTGGCCATACTGGCGGGACCGAGAGCAAACCCAGAGACAGTGCTCCAGGGGACAAGATCCGGTTGCTCGAGATGTGCCAGGAAATATGTAAAACTATGTCAGCGTCAATTCTTGAGAAATTGGACGAGCGCTTCGACGCCCTTGAAGCTAAGTTCCAATCTGTCCTCGCCGCACAGACTGACTTGCAGAACCGCATGGTTGGCCAGGAATTAGCAACAAAGGCTCACGAGGAGCGTATGGGAGAACTAGAAACGAAATGTGAGGAGCTCACAAAGCTTGTATCCCAGCAGCAAACTAAGTTACTGGACTTTGAGGCCCGCTCCCAAAGACATAACATCAAAATTGTCAGCATCAAGGAAAACTCAGAAGAAGGTAGGCCGAATGAGTTTGTCTCTAAGTTCATCCCCAAACTACTGGGCAAACAACATTTCCCGCATCCACTGAAGGTTGACCGCGCACACTGCTCTTTGTGGCCCAAGCCCGCGGCGGGTAAGAAACCACGCACCATCATAGCCCGAATACATCACTTTCAGAGCAAAGAGCAAATTCTATGCCTTGCCAGGACGCAGCCGATGGAATACAAGGGGAACAAAGTTTTGATTTTCCCAGACTACACCAGCGAAGTAATGAGCCAGTGCCGCGCCTTTCGGAATGCGATGCAAGCCTTGAGAGGGGATGGGATCAAGTTCCAGCTGCGCTACCCGGCCTGGCTGCTGGTGCAATGGCAGGATGGTGACCCCCCCGAGGTATTCAACGACCCGGCTCGGGCAGAGGCGGCTCACCTGCGGAGGAAGAGAAGCACGACTGAAAAGGACTAGTGAGCATGTGTGGCACATTTATCCAGTTTTTGCTTTTTCTCTTCACAGTCTTAAGGTGAACTAATTCCGTTAAGCTGTGGTTCGTTTGACGAACTATATTTTCTAATAACATACAGACGTTGACGTTTCGGGTGCATTTTGAAAGATCCGGGTTGTTTAGTTACATTTAAGTGTAATGATTGTTGTGGTGGAGGTGCCGTGACCTGACTGAGTTCGGTCCGCCATCTGTCCGGCAGCTCCTGCTTCGTTTAAAGGGGGAAGATTTGCGTCGTGTTCCTCAGTCGCTGGGAGGAGGAGGGGGGAAGTTCGGGGTGTGGTAATTGTATGTTTTGTTTTACCCAGAAGCACAAGCTTTACTCGTTTGTACCACTCGGCATCAAAACTGCTAGCTCTGACAATATACTTCTACAATGACTGATGTTCGCGGCGATGGGCGGACAGAGGGGAAAAATCTGCAACTAATCTCATGGAATGTAAAAGGTCTTGGTACTGCAATAAAGAGGGGAAAAGTTTTTAAACACCTTAAGTCCTTAGCTGCAGACATTATTTTTCTACAAGAGACCCATATTAGAAAAGATACACAACATAGACTGAAGTGTAGCTGGGTGTCTCAAATATACCAATCGCCTTTCACCTCACATGCTGGTGGTGTGGCTATATTATTGAGAAAGAATGTCCCATTTCAGACATCGTCTGTCGTCAGTGACCCAATGGGCAGGTACGTGAGGGTAACTGGCACCATAAACTCGAAACCATTAACTCTCCTTAATGTATATGGGCCAAACTCAGATGATCATAATTTTTTTAGAAAAGTTTTTGACCTACTTCCAGATGATGGCTGTTCAAACGTAATAATAGCAGGGATTTGAACTGTTATCTTGACCCCTTTATTGACAGATCATCTAAACGACCAGCATCAGAACTGGCATCCACCAAACTTCTAAATAATCTTCTCAAATCTAGGAATATGGTTGATATTTGGAGGGCTCAACATCCTACAAGTAGAGATTACTCATTTTACTCTCATGTGCATAAATCTTACAGCAGGATCGATTATTTTCTAATAAGTAACAATCTCGTCTCTCAAATTGTTGATTCTAAATATCATAACATTCTGATTTCTGATCATTGTCCCCTAGCTATGTCTTTAAATCTCTCCCTTCCCAGGCAGGCTTACTCCTGGCAACTTAACGCAAATCTTCTCAATGATGATAACTTTATTAAAACATAACCTCTAAATTAAAGGACTTTATAGAAATAAACTATAATGGCGAGTTATCAGACTCCATCTTATGGGAAGCATTAAAGACAGTTTTGCGTGGCGAAATAATCTCCTACACTTCAGCCCTTAAAAAAGAGAGAGAGAAACCTCCGTCTGAAATCATCTGTGCCCTCTCCAATTTGGAAAGGAAGTACCAAATCTCTGAATCACTCGATGACTATAAGGAAATACTTAAACTCAGATATGAATATAATGGAATTATGAGCAGCCAGGTTAGTAATCTGTTTTGGAAACTACGACAAAAGAATTTTGAGCTTGGAGATAAGCCCGGTAAACTGTTAGCTCTACAACTGAAGGGTGCCCAAGCCACAAGGTCAATCTATAACATTAAGTCAAAAATCGGCACACTCTTAACCAATCCTGCTGACATAAATCGCAGATTTAGAGAGTTCTACGCCACGCTGTATTCGTCCGAGAATAATGCAACACAATCCGATTTTAACACTTTTTTCGAATCCCTCCCGCTGCCTAAACTGAATAAGCCGGACAGAGACTACCTCGAGTCTGACTTGACGCTTCAAGAGGTCAGAGAAGCTATAAAATCCCTTCCATCTGGCAAAGTTGCCGGGCTGGACAGTTTTGGCTCGGATTTCTATAAGAAATTCTGTGACCTTCTTGCACCACTCTTGATTAGAATGATGTCTGCTTCAAAAAACTGCCCAAAACTCTTTACGAGGCTAACATTTCTCTTTTTCTTAAAAAGGGGAGGGATAAAACAGATCCAGCTAGCTTTCGCCCGATTGCACTGCAAAATGTTGATCGCAAGATAATCACAAAAATCTTGGCCGCTAGACAGAACAAATGCTTAGCATCCATTATCCATCCTGATCAGACTGGGTTTATCCCTGGCAGACTGTCTTTTTTCAATGTAAGACGATTACTTAATACTGTATACCTTGACCATAGAAACACTAATGCCTCTATTCTGGCCCTTGATGCACATAAAGCCTTTGACCAGGTCGAATGGCCACATATGTTTGAATCATTGCGCAGATTCGGTTTCAGCGATACTTTCATCTCCTGGGTGAAACTGATATATCAAGAACCCATTTGCTTCATCCTGACAAATAATGATCGGTCAGTTCCGTTTCGCCTGCAGCGCTCAGTTCAGCAGGGCTGCCCGCTGTCTCCAGCGCTTTTTGCTATTGCGCTGGAGCTACTTGCTGTGGAGATAAGGGTGCACCCGCATATTGAAGGCCTTCGAATCGGTGGTGTTGAAACAGTCATCAGTTTATACGCTGATGATGTGATATTATATTTATATGACACAGTAAAATCTGTCCCCTTCCTCCTCAGCTTGATTACATCTTTTAGTAAAATCTCTGGATATACAATTAATTGGTCAAAGAGTGAATTGATGCCTCTATCCAATTCGTACCCATTCGGATTTCTACAAAAAGTCCCATTCAAAGTGGTTGAGAGCCATCTTACCTACTTAGGCCTTACTGTACCCAAAGATCCAAAACTTATATTTAAACTAAATTTTGCAACGTTTATATCGGGATTAAAGCAAAACATTGAGTACTGGAAAACTTTGCCCCTGTCAATGATTGGACGCATTAATTCAGTTAAAATGATCTCCCTACCTAGGTTCTTGTATTTATGTCAAAATCTTCCTATGTATCTTACAGCAGCCTTCTTTAAAGAACTGGACTCGATCGTTCAATCCTACATATGGAATGGGAAAAATGCTAGGATTTCTAGAGTACATTTACAGAAGCCGAGGGAGGAGGGAGGGCTGGGCCTACCTGTATTCAAACACTATTATTGGGCTGCCAACATCAGAGCACTAACCTTCTGGCAGCAGGGGTTCCCAGACAACCCAGCGATTGATACTCCTTTGTGGGTCAAGATGGAATCCAAACTGGTGAATAATTCCTCCCTCCCAGCCATGTTGTTTGCCTGCCTTGAAAAGCCGGAAGCCTACCGAAACCTGAGCTTTGTGTTAAAACATGAAGTCAGAATCCTAAA